CCGCCCCCCTGCCCAATGCTGCCCTCTACAGAATCCACCCCCCAAACCTCCAGGTATTTCCCTCCTTAGAGCTGGCAACCCTACATTCCCCTCAGTGCCTGTTGGTAGGCAACTAAGCTTGGTCCTGTCACCTACTTTGGCCTTTGGGAGAAAACACATTGGGGCCAATCCTGATAGGGTTGCCAACTCCAGATGGGAAATTCCTGGAGACTTGAGGGATGGAGCCTGAAGAGGGTGAGGTTTGAGGAGGGGTGGGACCTCAGACAGGTACACTGCCATAGACTCCACCCTCCAAACCAGTCAGTCTCACATAGGGAACCATTGTTGCCAATCTCCAGGTGAGGGCTGGAGAGCACTCAGAATTACAACTGCTCTGCAGAAGGGAGGGCAGAAGTCAGCTGAAGTCAAAGGGGCAGATAATGGTAGGTTGATGGTTAGCTGGGAAGGAGATGGGGTTGCCAACTACATGCTGACAAATTCCTGGGGATTTGAGGGGTGGAGCCTGGAGAGGGTGGGGTTTGCAGAGGGGTGGGACCTCAGACAGGTAGAATGCCATAGACTACACCCTCCAAACCAGCCACTTTGTCCTGGGTAACAATTGCTGCCAATCTCCAGGTGAGGGCTACAGATCACTCACAATTACAACTGCTCTTCAGGTAGCAGAGATCAGTTCCTCTGGAGAAAACAGTGGACTCTGTCATTATACCCTGCTGAGGTCACCACAGCAAATTGACACTGTTTGCCCAAAGCCAGAGCACTCCCCCAGAGCCTCTTTCTAGATCCCGTTGTATTGCTTTCACAACGGGCTTTACTGCTAGTTCACTATAACTTGCAAACAAGAGCTTATGCGTGAAAGTCAGAATGTGAGATCAGCATTTGCCACTGGACCCAATAGTGTGGCCAAAGCTTGCACATATGCACTGACATACGTGAAGGCACCAGTGTTCCCTCTAAGCTGAGTTAGTGTGAGCTAGCTCACAGTTTTTTAGCCTCTGGCTCACACATTCTTGTCTTAGCTCAGAAAGGATGGCTCCAGAGCAAACTAATTTACGCAGTAGCCAAATCGCTCGCTCACAGCTTTAATGCCACTAGCTCACAAAGTAGAATTTCTGCTCACAAGACTCCACAGCTTAGAGGGAGCATTGGAAGGCACTCACAAGTTACAGTGAAGATGTGTAAGACCTGGCACAATATTTCTCACTGTACTTTGACTCTCCCACAATTCTGAACACCCCTATTGCATTTGAATTCACATGTATGATTCATATGTACAAGCCATCACCTGATGTTGCAGCAGCCTTTATGAATGTGTGAACTAACGTAAAGGGCATGTTCATGTGAACAGTCACCTCACTTAACAAGGTTACTTAAACAACATTAAGGACTTCAGACTGCTGCAGTTATTTGCCCACAGAGCGATAGGGAAACAGTAGAAAAAGATTTGGCACACAATTTTATATTCTTGCTATGAAAAGAGTCCTATTTCACTCACTTATAAACGGATGCCTTCCTTGTTTGTCAACCTCTTTCTGCAGCACAGTCACGATCAAAAACTGTGAGTTCTAACACTGCTATGAACTGCTAACTTGTCAGGGAGTGTCAAACAACTTTGGTGTTGCTGAAGCTAAGTAGAACACATCTGCCTTAGACCCACACCTATGGGTGTCCACTGTGTTTCAACACATTCTACAGATTTAATGGAATCATTTACTTCCAGGCAACATATTTAAGAGCAGTTACTGACCAAATCAATTATTTATCTAACACAGTCCTCTCGTGGTGTCTTCTACAGCCCATGCAGCAACACATAGGGCTTTTCTGCACGTTTTGTTGTGGGTGGTGGTTCTGGAGCAGTACCCTGATTTCTGTATGCATTTTTGTATCTTTAGTTTTCACTTCTTTTTTGTTTGTCGCTGCCCCCCACCCCCTGAGTATTTTCCATTTCTCTTCTTATCTTTTTCTGGAAGCCAATTTTAAATCGCCTCTTTCTTCATGCCTAATGTTTCTTTCAGTTTTCTTTGTCTGTCCACACCAACCCACCTCCAGTCCACTGTTTGATGATTGGACTGTCACTGTCAAACCACTCTCCCCCCCCCCCAAAGACAAGTGATTTCTTTTTCTTTTACTTTAAATGGCACTAAAATATCAATATATTACTAGAGCACTGTAACAATAGGTTTAGGAGGTTCACTGAAATCCTGGCTTTCCTTCTTTCCTTCTTTCTTTCCTTCTTTCCTTCTTTCTTTCCTTCTTTCCTTCTTTCTTTCCTTCCTTCTTTCTTTCCTTCTTTCCTTCTTTCTTTCTGACTCCACAACTATGAAAATGCAGAAGAAGGGCGGACATGCAGAAGAACCATACCCAAACCAATTCCAGTGCTTCTGGATTGACTCCCAAGAAAATCAGGAATAAGTCAAGCATGCAAAAAAAGCCCCAAGTGTACCATGCGCCTTGGTCTTTCCATCAGTTTTTAAGGCTAAAGGAAATTATGACCATAATCACCAACTTGTACAACAGCCACAGATCTTATTCTCTATACATTTATTTGTAGCTTTCCTGAACTAACTGCCACATGCAGAATGACAAGAGATTCCAGAAATCTATATGAGTCAAAGAGACCTCCCACTTCTCTTTTGTATAGAAATGAGGAGCCACTTTATACCATTGGTTCAGTTAATACACGTAATTGTCCACATAGACTGAAAGTAGAAAAGAGAAAGTATCCAGGAGCACCTTAAAGACTAACAAAACATGTGGCACGGCATGAGCTTTCGTGAGTCACTACTCACTACTTCAGATACTGAAAGGGTATGCTCACTTCTTTAGATACAGAAACGATATACTTATATACATGCTTTGGACCATCTATACGCAACACACAAACTTTTCCACATTTATGTGGCTTCTCCTCTCTGTACATACATAGATCTTCCCTACAGCATGCATGGAGCATCTGTGTAAAGTTTTATGCTTCTCTGTGCCTGACACTATATCATAATCTACTGGCTTTTTCTTCCCGTTTCTGCTGTGAAGGGCAGCCCTCCTTTTGGTTGCAGTTTATTTTAAATAGATGAGACTCCATACTAGAATCTGAATCCCACACGGGATTTCTGTGCATAGACTGTGACTTTCTTGCCTCTTGCTACTCTTAGGGAACAGGGGACCTCGGGAAATATCTTGGGGGGGGGGGGGTCAGAAGTCTGCAGAAGGAAGGAGGAATTTGGTGAGAATCACCTTCCCAGTGGCCTACAGAAATCCCCTAAAGGATCCAATCTCCTAACTGGGGGAAAAAGATTTCAAAAATGTCTGTTGGCATGTACCACCCTCTCCCAGTAAATACAAGGAGATCTCCATCAGCAAAGGTAGTTACTAGTTTCCTATTCGAACATAGTTTGACAGACCTGCCATCTGATCTCCCATCCCTTTGTTAATCTCGTTTCTAGAAAGAAAAAAAGAGAGGCACCTTTGCTCTTTCAAGCTGAATAGCGGCTTGCTGTTCTCTCTCCTGGCGGATTGCTTCCCTATCTTCTTCCAGAGATACATCAGAATCTGATGGTCTGCTTGTGTATGAATCTGCTGATCCCTAGAAAGAAAAGTCCATTATTAACAAAATTGATGGATCAAATACAGGAAAAAACCAAACATGCACAAGCAATGTTATGGATTGCACACCCAGGGCTTAGTAAGATGTCTTGCGGAGAGACACAAACTGCACAACAACCACATTTTGGAATAAAACAACAGGCCACGGCTTTTATTGATTACAGACCAAGGAGCATTGTCAAAGCATGGGGGGGGGCAGATCCTGGACCATCGAGCAACCTGCCTGCCACTCGATAAAATGTCCCACAGCCCGCCTGCTGGGGAAAAACTTGGGAGTGACAAATATTAGTGGTTATCACAAAGGCAGCTGCCGCTGAGTGGTACCATTTGACACTTGGGGTGAGCCTGGGCACAGCCCCTGAGATGGGCATACCATGTGGTGGCTCAAACCCCCAGACCCCATAAGGGAGTCCCCAAAATGGGGGGAGGTAGACACGCAGGCCCATCTCCCCCAAAAGGATCCGCTTAGATGTGCAAAACCACCCTACACAGATACCTTGGAAAATGGGAGGGTGGGGATTCAAGAAAAACCACACTGCTGAAGCCACCAGGAACCATGGTGAGCCAGCTTGGTGTCGTGGTTAAGTGCGTGGACTCTAATCTGGGAGAACCGAGTTTGATTCCCCACTCCTCCACTTGCACCTGGCTAGATGACCTTGGGCAAGCCATAGTTCTGATAAGAGCTGTCCTTGAAAAAGAGCAGTTTCTGTCAAGAGCTCTCTCAGCCCCGCCTACCTCACAGGGTGTCTGTTGTGGGGAGGGGAGGGGAAGGGAAAGGAGTTTGTAAGCCGCTCTGAGACACCTTTGGGTAGTGAAGGGCGGGGTATAAATTCAATCTCTTCCTCTTCTTCTTCTTAAATAGAACTGGGCGGCCTCTATGTCACCCTTCGCAGAGCCCACCAAAACTTCCAGCGCTTGAACAGGCTGGCCCCTAGATGACGTGGGGCCAGCCAGCACAGTGGCCTGAGGCTCCCGCCTTTGCTGGCTTTTGGGCAAAGTGGGGGAAAGCACCCTCCAGACCCCTCCTAGGCCGTGCTGTAATCCGGTCCATTCAAGTAAGTCACCACAACCAGATACCCTTATCAGTCTGGAGGAAAAAAAACCAAAGGTAGTTGACTGGATCTCTACCCAGGCAGCTGCTTGGGCAACACCATGAAGAGGGAAGGCTTACTCCAGGCAGCCTGCGACACGGAAGGCAGCAATCAGTATAGCTTATGACCACTTCCTCCTCATCCTAGGCTATCACCGCCCAGATCCAAGCCAAACCCCTGCAGCGCTGCCAGCTTCCGTAGCAATTTTTACACTGAACGTGATCAAAAGCTTATTCAATTTGCAGATGATACTAAATTGGATTGGGAGGTGGTGGGCTCTCCTTCTTTGAAGGTTTTTGCAGGCTAGATGGCCATCTGACAGCAATGCTGATTCTGCGAACTTAGGCAGATCATGACAGGGAGGGCAGGAAGGGTTGCATCAGTGCTTAGTTCTCGTGGCCCCTTCTCACACACCCGGGGAAATGCTGATTGCCACTTTGGGGTCAGGATCAGGAAACAATTTTCTCCAAGCCAGTTTGGCTAGGGACCATGGAGGTTTGTGGGGGGTTTTGCCATCTTCTGGGCATGGAGCAGGGGTCTCTGGGTGTGTGGGGGGGAGGTAGTTGTGAATTTCCTGCAATGTGCAGGGGGTTGGACTAGATGACCCTGGAGGTCCCTTCCAACTCTATGATTCTATGAAAGGAATAAAATGGAAAATGATATTTACTTCATTTATACCCTGCCTTTCTCCCCAATGGGGACTCAAAGCACCTTACAGAGTTCTCCCCCCACCCTGTTTTATTCTCACAACAATCCTGCGAGGTAGGTTAGGCTAAGAATGTAACTGGCCCAAGATCACCCAGCCAGCTTCCATGGAAGAGTGGGATTTGAGCCTGGGTCTCTTAAGTCCTAGTCTGACATTCTAACCACTACAACTCATTGGCTCAACAGATGTTTCAAAAGCCTATTTGCAATTACTCTTCCTGTCATTTTGATAAGCAGTGTTATGTTTGTTCCACTGTGAAGCAATAAAAGTGTTTTTTAAAGCAGCTGACTAACTGGGCATCAGCAGCTCTGCAAAACAGAGATGTCAAAAAGAAGTCAACAGTATAAGGTTCATAAAGGCATCAGCTTTCATAGCCAACTCACACCACCATTTTTCCTGGGTTACAAAAGAATCTCACTGCATTCAAGGCAGTCTTGAATAGTCCTCAAAATTCACAGTGCAACAACTGGGATTTCTCATTTTCCGATCCTTTAATCAATTACAACAAGCAAGAAAGACTGCAGACAAGGAAAGCCTGAAGAATAAAGCATAGTATGGTGACAACTAAGAATGGCTCTAACAAAAAAAATGCTCTAGATTTTTGGAAAAAAACATTTTGTCAAGCTGAATTAGTTAGAATTGTTTCAAGATGTCCCTAGCCATGACAGGTTTCAACACAACTGAAATTCACTTTTTGAAAAACTGATGCTGAAGTCACAAAACTATGCAAAGAAGAAGATCGTATCTCTATATTGAGTATACTACTCTCCTGCCTTTCCTTGAAAGGAACTCAGAATAGCATACATAGGCTGCGGTCACACGGAACATTAGCCACGCTACAGAGACGGAAGATAGGTGGATTTTCCGGGCGCTATCACAGCGCCACATCTGGGAAGCGTAGAGCTCCCGTGCTGAACCCAAGGCTTCCCGCCGAAGATGCAGGGTAAAAAACTAGTACCTCCGAGGTACTAGTTTCCGGAAACTGCAGGGCAAGGGCGGGCGCCTGATCGCGTTTCCGGTGGAATCCCGTGGCATCTGGCGGCCGCCCATGTCCCATCGCGAACAGGTTTTTTCCTCCCCAAGTCTCCACAGGATGCGCACAAGCGCCCAACGGCACATGCGCACAAAGAGGCCCCCTCCCACTGCAGCCAGGCTTGCCGCCTCTGGAGGGTCACTATGGCCACTGTCGCGCAGGCGGTTAGAGCGGCTGTGATGAGGGGCCCCACCTCCCCCTCCATTGGCTATGCCTCGGAGCTCTGTTGGGGTCCGGAAGCGTCGCCCTCTCCGGTAAGCCGACCACCTGCCTTTGGATGTGCAGATACGATTGCTCAGTCATGCGTATGCACAAACTTCAGTTTAAAAAAAAATCCATCCCATTTGCCACGGAAGCGGCACCTAGCGATTGCTGGTGTGATTGCGCCGCACCACTTCTTTGCCGCAGGATCATCGTGTGATCAGCACCTGCCCCCTAACCATGGGACCTCCACGGGACCTCGAAGGGACGTCTGATCGCGCAACTGCGCGTTATTTTCCTCCGGGGCAAACAGCCACGCTTCCCCCCCGCATTTTCCAGCCCGTATGACCGGAGCCATAGTTTTCCTTTTTCTGCTCATACAATTCTTGTGGCAGGAGTCTGGAGAGAGGAACATGGGAGCCACTGTTGGTTGATGGCATTACATTACTCTACGGAAAACCGAGAACTGATGTCATATTTCTCTAGGAATCGCAGGAAACTCTAAGGTGGACTGATGTCGTTTCCAAGTTTCCCCTGGAAGTGACATCATGATGTGACCTTTTTCAAAAATATATATATTATTTTTCTTCCAAAAGCTGCAAGAGCAGCAGTGGGAAACGGGAGCTGGCGGTGGGAAACCCATTGCCCTGCCAGGAAACTGGGAAGACCACCCGGTGAGCTTCCATGGTGGAATAAGGGTTCAAACCTGGATCTCCCAGATCCCAGTCCAATATACTAAACTCTACACCACATTATTTTCAGGAGGATATAGTTTTGATGGTCCGCAGCAGAAGAGGAAGATTCAAGTCCACTCGCACCTTAAAGACCAGCAAGATTTCCAGGGTATCGGCTTTTGAGAGTAAAATCTCCCATTGCCAGATACAGCACGTTAGATTGTGGGCAGTTCTCAATCAGGGTTATGCTCCAATGCGACCATCAACATTTCTTAAAGAAGCCTGTTTTGAAAGTCTGAGCGGGCGGCTCAAACGTAAACTATTTTTAGAAGTTCAGACTGGATGTGAGATTATCATTTGAAAGACCAGCATTGGTTGAATCTGTGAGCTATTACCATAAAAAGAAAGAAAAGAAAGGGCAGGACAGCAGTTTTATATTCCTATTGCTCAGGATAGCTCTGCTCTGGGGGCCATTGTTCTGTAGCCAAAGAATGCTGAAGACGTTTCAGGCCTTCAGAGTTTTACACCGGGACTGGGCTGGCAGAAAATTAACTCTCTGCAGCATCTCTGAAATGCCAGGGTTTTGTTTTTGTGGTTTTAAAAAGTCTCAGAAACATAATTTTATATAGGTATGGGAGACTACTGAGTTGTGGGCAGCATTCATGCCATCAAGTATACCCGATGTGTGTTTCCCTTCATGAGGTTTTCAAGGACAGAGATATTCAGAGGTAGTTTGCTATTGCCTGCCTCTGTGTCATTATCCTGGTACTCCTTGGTAGTCTCTCATCCAAATAATGACCAAGGCCGACCCTGCTTAGCTTCTGTGATCTGATGATATCGGGCTAGCTTGGATCAGGAAGAATATACAGAAGCTTTAATTTGGCAAAAGCAGGACTTATCATATAAATCAGGGATGAGGGCCAGGAGATCAGACTGCTGAAACACAAAGCCAGAGGATACAGTGATTTCCTCTGCCTTGTATTTCTTCTTTAACCAACAGGCCATGCCCAAGAATTCAAGTTAAATGTAGAGAAGAGTGGGCTGAAGGCAAGGATGAAAGCAGGGCTGCCTGGTAGTTGTTGGGGACAGGAGATCTCCTCCCCCAGCTCTTGTTCCCCACTGCTGCTCCATCAGACAATGGGAGAAAAATGAAGAAAAAAAATCACCATCCTTACATCCAGTGTTCCCTCTAAGCTGAGTTAGTGTGAGCCGGCTCACAATTTTTTAGCCTCCGGCTCACACATTTTTGTCTTAGCTCAGGAGGGATGGCTCCAG